AAAAAAAACAAAAATAATAATACTAAAATATATTATTTGTCTATGAAAGAAGGCTTTTTGTTTTCTAACCTTAACCAAACAATATCGACACCTAATTTTTTAATATAATCCAATTTCATTGTTATACCATTAATATCACCAATACCATCTCCATTTGAATCAAAAAATGAACGTGGATAGATTTGATAAACAACTGAATGATGCCACCAATCTTTATGAGATTTTTTAGTCTTTTCAGTTGTCATAACAGAATTAGTTTTTGTAAAAGAATAAATAAAATCTTTTCTATTAAGAATTTTTTTTTGAATTAAATTATATACAGAAAATTTTCGTGTTAAAATATGATTGGAATGATATAAATAACTGAACGTTTGTTTTGATAGTGAAGTGTAAATTTGAGAGACGACTACTGACATTATATCAAATCATACTCAATGAACTGTCCAAAGAATGAAAACATTGGATTGATAAAATAGAAAACAGAATAATTAAAATACAGTATATATTAATATTTCAAATTAATAAAGTTGAATTGAATATAGACAATAAATGATTATTATTGGTAAATTAAGTGAAATCGAAGTAGATGTCGTTGGTCGATTGTAGAAATGCTAGAAATCTTTTGACGATAAAATAGTACTATTGATTTGAAGAATAACATTCTTTTTTTCTTGAGAGAAAAATTCTTGATCAAGGTCATGGACTTTGAACTGTTAGTCGTACCTTGGTAGACAAAAAGTCCGACAATACCTGTAAATAAAATACGTCATATCTTGCTCATCTATTGAATGACGGTCGTTAATTATGCTTAGTGAGGCGTAACTATCTGACGTTTTTCATTCGCTTTCTTCCTTGAATGGAGTGTGCATAAGTGTATATCTATTCTTTTTACCTTGTTTCATTCACCGACTAACCATGGCTTCAATATCACCCATAACAATTCATTCTTCTAATAGTCCTTCTATAACTAATTCATCTCAAATAGTAGTTAGTGAAGATCTTAAACAAGCTGTTATTGATCATCTGTCTTATTTAAAAGAATATCATGATCATCCTGAATATCTTCAAAAACAATCACGTGAATATGCTGTGTATCGTTATGAAACATTTTGGCTTCCATTTTTAGCTGAGAATCGTGATTTAGATATTGTTCCACCACTTGATATACTTTTTGTTTGGCATTCTCATATGTTAGCACCAATAGCATATGCAAGTGATTGTGAACGTTTATTTGGACATATTTTACCAAATCGTGTACGTTCACGTTCACCACAAGTAATTAAACTTAGTGAACAATTATGGACAAAAAAATATAATCGTACAATGCCTTATCATATAGATTATTCGGCAATTATTCAAGTTATTCCACCATATTCAAGTAAAATAAAATATACTTTAGCTCACGCTGTTGAAAGACAAGCAGAATTTTATTATAACGTTTCACTTGGTCATTATAAAGATCCTTATTTTCTTGATGAAGCTATAAATCGTTATAAAAAATTTATTTATTTAAAACGTTTAAATCCACAATTATTTGTCGTACCAATGTATGATATTGATATTATTTGGCATACACATCAATTATTTCCTGAAATTTATCGTCGTGATATGATGGCTAATCTTCAACATGTTCTTCATCATGATGATACAACATCAGATCGTTCACCAAATTCAAAATTATCAACATCAGATCATGATACACGTCATAAATGGTTTGAATTATATGGTGATCGTTTACCAAAAAATGGTTGTATGTTTCGAGGAAAAACATCAAAAGATTTTTATCAATATATTACTGATTTTAAATTTCTACTTGAATGTCAACGATATTCAATATATGTACAATTCATTGAAAATGATACTTCAACAATGGGTATTACAAAAAAAGATGTTGATAATAAAATTAATACAGTTGTACCACTTCATGATCATCAATTAGGTGAACCATTACGTGAACAAATGTTTGCACAATTTAATACATCTGATCAAGAAATTTTTGCTCGAGGTTCATCAGGACATATGGAAGCACATTTTGATGCTGATTTTAGTGATTTCTTAATGAAACTTACACTTAAAATTCAACGAAAAGCTGGTTATTGGCCAATGAATTATTATAATACACTTGAGGAATATGATATGCCATCAGAAAAACTTCTTGCTCTTATTCAATTTACTCAACCTGTTCAATCAACTAATAAGTTAACAGATGAAGAAGATCCAAATGCACTTTATTATGTATACGAGAAAGATATTGAACAAGATTCTGTTCTTCGAGAAATTGTACCAGATGCGAAAAGGTATGACACACTAAAAACTGTTATATTGTAACTGATATAACTATGCAATTGTCATGAGCAAACGATCATATAGTTACATATCTCGAACCGTCTATCGAATTGCTTATTGATGACATCGATACACATATTGTAAACTTTAATCGATGCGTCATAACGAAGGACTTTAGACATTAGGTATAGGAATGAATAGTAGATCAACTAACAATCAGTCGATGATAGAGTGACCACTTATCTCTTGACAGTATTCTATATCGATAAGATGATTCAATTCATTTCAAAAACAAAAACATTTTATTATATAATTGAGTGCTCAAAATTCAAAACTAAATAAAAAATTTCATTTTTTTTGTCTTGAAATAGATTAGTTGTTGGTATTCCAACTATTGATGTGAACACGATAAATGTTCGATATGAAGTATCAGAATATCAAGAAGTAGTACTTGATCAAAATTATTTAACTCAATTAGGTACAACATTTTTATTTAATCTTGAACATGTTACAGTTAAACAAGCTATGCATACAATTCAACCAATACATCAAGACGAACCAATCCTACTTAATATTCGTCATAGTATTCTTCATGATATCGATATATTTACAGCAACATTTAATAATGCTATATTTGCATCATGTCATACACTTAATTGGTCTCAATTACCATTACCTAATCAAGTATCTACTAAACATGATGTATCTGTAATAACATTAAATCCTGAAAATGAAGAAGCACTTATTATAAAAGATCATACAGGTGATTGGGGTATCGTAAAATTTAGTAAAGATCTTTTTACAACATCATTAGAAGGAATGACAAGTGAGACAAGTTATCAATTTAGTTTATATCGTTTTATGCCTAATGGTCGTGTTGAAGAAGAAATTGTTTATGTTGATTGGGAAGATGATAAATGGGTTATTGGTTCAAATAATTTTGGTATTAGTATGAACGCATGGACAATATCAGTTAAAAGAATGGAAATAAAAAATTCAATTCAATATATTTGTTTAGGATCAGCTTTAATATCACGTTTTGATACATTATTTACAGAAATATTTGGCGTTAAAGAAGAGGAAAAAAATTTAGTAACAACAAATGGACATCAGAGTGATAAAGATTTATTGACGAATGAGATTGAAAAGATAGATTTGAATGGATCAACTGGTATTAACGATACTAAAAATACGTTAAATAATATAAAACCTCAAATGGCTATGAATGTTTAAAAATACCAAAACAGCAAAACAAAGAATAAAATTAACATATTTGATTTTAAAAAACAAACCGAAAGATTATCCTTGTCGTGTTAACTTACATTAAAAATACTAACAAATTTTATTAAAATAAAAAATAAAAATAACCATAATTACATATATTTTTTCAGAAAAAAAAACTGATAACAATGTATAAATACACATATGTTTCTTTTAAAAAACTGTATACATAGTGAATAATATATTTGACGCTATATAAATTTGATTGGATGTTTCTTTGAAGAGTCCAGTAAGAGAACGAACAAAATGACTTATTCAACCAGGTGTTTTTGAAGTCTCTATTTATTTAATGGTAGCTTTTTTTTCTTCCAACTTACATTTTTTTCAATAATAAAAGTTACCAACATTTAATAATATAAATAGTCTTGTAATTCAATAAAACAAGTGGTTCTTTAACAAAAAACAAGATGAGCAATCATAAACCTAAAGGTGAAAAAAGAAAATCTCATGGTAGGAAAAAATATCTATGTGTAACTATTTATATTATAGCGTGATTATAAATTATAGAGAATTTAAGTGATATATCAATTGATCATGGTTTCGTTGCACCATATGAAATATGTGCCAATTCTTTGAATCTTTTTCAATTTTTAATATCAGGATATTTATTCGATCATCGATCATTTACAAGTTTATATAATCAAAGGTAAATGACAGATATATATTATCATTGAAATTATTAATATGATAATTTAGTTTAAAAAATGAATGGAAAGAAATATTTATCAACGAAAGAGAAAGATTAAAAAGAATAAAACCGAATGAAAATTCAGTAATAAAATGTTTTCTTTTAAATCGATTACTTCATCAATATGAACAGGTATGATTATTCAATTTTGTTTGACTAATTAGCATTCGATAAAAAGAAAAAAAATCATGATACCCATTTTATTTAATATGTCATATTACAATTATTTTGAATTTAAAGATTAAACAATATTGTTTCTTCTTTTTCTTTTTTATTTAAATAATGTTATTTGTATATATTTGAGAATCCACATGGTTTTGTTCAACAAACAAAATGTTTACATGATGAAATTAAATTACGCATGCGCTCTCATTTTCCCAAATGGGTATATTACCAAGAATGTATTAGTATATCAAACAGTTGAATTTGAGTTTTTTTTAGGAATCCGAAGATCTATTTCGTGAAGTTCGATATTGGCAAGATATACAAAATCGACGACATTTATTTCATTTTAATTATAAAGAAGAAGAGCATATGCCAAATTTGCCTACTCTTTTGATGTTACAAAAAGCGTATATTGAAATATAATATTTAGTAAATTTTATGAATTGTTTCTTTCAATATTTAGTATGACTAACTGGTGTCAATTTTTGATTCGTCATTGCCAAACAAATGTGTCTTTTTTAAATAATGGAGGAAATCATTTGTTTATTAAACTCATTGAGCAGTGAGTTTTATTGTTCCAATTGTGTAGTAAATATGATTAGTATTCATTTTTCTTTAGTTCATTCATTATTGTTGTTCAACCAACTGGCCCAGATGGTGTTCCAGTTACACATTATAAGACGGATAAGTTTGGTCAATCTGCAAAATTAAACGCACGAATCGTCTGTTTACTAGATTCTGATGTTCTTCAAAATTCTGTACGACTATCAAACATTGGTATAAATTCTTCTATATTATCACATTGTAAACTATGTCATTAGTCTGTCTTCAGATGTGACGCTTTGTTCATTGAATCAAGATGTTAACGATAAAGGATTGAAACAAACACCTATTGTATGGCAAACGCAACATATTACGAGTGCTGAAGGTGAATCAGTATCAATCTTTTATACTGATGTCCAAAATCTTACAGTTAAAAAAACGTATTCAAGACGTTGTAGTGGATTGCTTTATTCAAATCTTTGTCAATTAAAATTTCGAATAAAAGTTAAAATAATATTTCATCTTTCTGACGGAACAAATTCTATGTTCGAACATGATATCGAATTATTATCACAACCATTTGGAATTTCCTCTCATTCACAACATTCTCCAAATATTGTTGCAAAAATTTTCCTTTATGAAATCGAACAAATTTTAGAAAAGGTCAGTTAAAAAAACAGTAATGGGGAAATAATAGTCATTTATCCATTTTTCTTTAGGAACGAAAAGTGATTAACCCAGACATTCTTACTGAATATACTCACCGATATCATACACGTATGTTGGGTGTAAAAACAAAAGAGCATACAATTCAATTCATTCATGAAGTCTTTTCAAAAGCATTTAATGGTTTAGTAGTTGATAGATATTATTCTACAAATTAATCAATATCTATTTTAGATATCGAAAATCGTATGACAACCATGAATTTAAAATCTCTGATTGAAGTAAGTTTCAATTCAATGACATATTGAAAATATGAATTCTTATTTTTAAAGAAAAGATTGACTCAATTTATAAGTCAAATAAAAGTTTTTGTTGATTATCCAATTTTGACAATAATGTATGATGACAGGTAGTATGCAATACTGATTGATTTTGGATTGATCATTTTCTTAGTACTATTTTGTTATAGTCTTTTTCTTGGTATATGCAATAAAACTAAAGTAGATAAAAGTCTATTGGGAACTCTAGAAGAACCACAAATGTTGTTACGTTTTAATGATCTCTGGAATCATCAATATAATGAAAGTCCTGAAGTTCGATGTATTATTCATAATGGTAGAGATCAAATAAATAGATTTTATCTTTTAAAAATAAAAAATCTTTTCATTTTTATAGGTAAACTTACAAAAGCATCAATTAGTAGAAAAGCATTTATTGATGAAATGTGCATATTCATTTATGAGTCGACAATAGAAGCAGTAAAACAAACCGTAATTTTTTCTTATTCAGGTGGACATGTTTTTTGTGATTTTCAATGTTATTATAGTAAGTGATTGAAATTAATGTCAAATGTTAAATATTATGCGATATAATTTAGATGAAGCAATATTTGTATTAAGCAAAATGAAACCTCCAGGCACAAATGATTACCAACCATTGATTCCTATTCTTTGGTATTTACTATAGTTCTATCGAAATCAGTGATTATACTCTTTTAAAATAATAAGTTTTTGGTCTAACACAGAAAAATTAATGTTCTATAAATTTGAGGAAAACTGTTATTCATAAAGAGAGGATTTATATCATCATATTTTAATTATTATCGGGCGTAATTCTTTGTTCTTATTCCATGTATTCTGCTGAGTAATTGTAAATTACGTGTGACTTTATCTTTTTTCTTGCGAACGCAGCGATTTAAATAATAGCAAATGTATACTATATCACTCTATTGATAGAACTCATATGAAATCTATCCTAATTCACACAGGAAAACAAGATTGTTTATTATTTAACTTGTGACTTATCTCGATTTTTTACGTAATTTTCAGGAAAACGATGCCTCAACATAATACAGAGGAAATTTTCCAATCACAGCCAAATAGCTTATCAACTGACCTTCTCTATCCTTCGAATTCAAATTTGAGTAAAATATTATGTGCTTGTTTTTGTATTTTGTATAACTATCATGCTTTTCTTTATTCAGCTAACGATCGGTTGTTAATCGCATGCACAGCCAATCAACAAGACTTGCAAAATAATGCTACTATTTTGAATTTTAAAGTAACAATACCGGTTGCAGCGAATATAAATCCTGATCCAATTGTTCACTATTTGGAAGAAAAATTTCGAGAATTACTTGAAGTTCAAAATAAAAATTTCTCTGAAACTCAGTCTATTCAGTCTCTGCAAGCAATCACACCTTCATTTCATATAATCGATACAGACATGGATCAAGATATGCACTTGTCGGTTAATGAGTTTGATAATGATCAAAATAGAGAACTTCAGGTACGATGTTTTCAAGAATAAAATAGCTATAATTTTTAATTTTTGTTTCAGACTCCGATATTGCAAACGGATTCGCTATTTGATTTACTCAATGATGACTCTCTACCATCTTGACAGTATTAACTTTGCAACCATTAGGCAGCGAGTATTTTTATTTTCAGTTCATGCAATCGTAAAAAGTGTGATCGACTTTTGAACATATTCTTGTTTTTATAAACAATCAAAAACTTATATTGTTTTCTTGATAATTATAGTCAGAATACGATACATTTGAAGGCGTGCAGACAAGCTAGTCTATCAAAAACTCTAATAACAAACATTTGCTGAAGCAAATGAAGTCATTTTCTTT